CTAAATAAAAATATTCAATTAAATAGTCAAGTTAGCAATGTGGCTGATATTTGTCAACAGATCTGCATGGTGAGGTTTTCCTTAATCATTTCAAGGGGAAATTAATCTCCAACAGAAAAAAACCTGAATATCCTAGAAGACAAGCTGGTAAAAATAAAGCTTCAGGTTTGTTGGTTTGTTTCTTTTTAATTTGATTTTCAATGTCTTCACTGGCAATGGAACATTATTCAAGAGAATTTCAAAGTATAATGGCTGGTATTTGCACTAACGCGATGACAGAGGCGAAACCAGTGATTTGCAATTGCTTCCAGCCCTGCCAAACAGAGCAAATGCCCATTTTCAGGCCACTGCACACTGCTCCCTCCCCCAGAAATGGCCCCACTTCAGTCTCTGCCTGGTAACTGGCATTCCTCTTGCAAAGCCCATCAGTGATAATTTCCTTTATTCTCTAAGACCTTCTTAATCCTACCACAACACACCCTCCTCTACATCCCTATTCTTATTTGTATTGTGATAGACTCATCACCCCAGATTAGAGTCAGTTTTACAAGCAGTCTCCCAATAGAACAATATACTTCACCATCTGAATGAGACAGGCTTTGCTGCAGTGCTGCAGTGCTTGCACCTGGACACACCTCTCCTCCAGCAACGAAATACAAAGAAACTATATGTGACTAAAAATAACTGTGCATTTTGCAGTTGGGGCAAATTCTGGACAAAAGATACAAAGAGCCCAAAAAACCCAACTGCCACTTTTGAAGAGTCCGGGGCAAAAAGCAGGATATGGCATGTGCCCCCTGCACTCAACATCACCTAAGCCACCCCTCCGCCTGACTCCTGGATACACCCCTACCCTCACCCCATTTAAGGAACAAGCTCGTCCCTGCCTCAGGGAACAAGAACAAGCAAGGGAACCTGTTGCTTGTCCCCACTGCTGGTGCAGGGGCCCCAGTAAAGCCTTGCCTGAATTTCTTGTTTGGTCTCTAGTCAATTTCTATTGATTAAGGAGGCCAAGAACCCTGGTCAGTAACAATTAGTATCTCTGGATCTAGCATATGGTAAATAATACAGGATTACTGTATTGATAATGCTTACCTTCTGTAACATATTCAATTTGCAATGCTCAAATATTTTTAAATCAGTAAATAAGGCTCTGTCTCGGCATAACCAGTAAAATTGTTCTAATCTTAAATTATCATAGGACTAAGAAAAGTATTTCTTTTAATGAAAAGGAACATTTTAATTTTACCAAAAAATTTATAGGTTTCATTTAAAATAAATCTTGGTCTAACTTTTAAAAACTGGTGATAATTTAACAGTCATAATATCTTGTAACTCAGGTCCTAAAATACACTGGATTTCATAATATATGCCACAGGATCATATTAAGAAGCAAAACTCTTGGGAGTTTGGGATTAGCAGATGCAAACTGTTATACAGAGGATGAATAAACAACAAGGTCTTACTGTATAGCACAGGAAACTATATTCAATATCCTGGGATAAACCACATGGAAAAGAATATGAAATAGAATGCATATATGTGTACAACTGAACCACTCTGCTGTATAGCAGAAATTAACACAACACTGTAAATCAACTATACTTCAATAAAATAAATGTTAAAAAAAAGAAACGGGCTTCCCTGGTGGCTCAGTGGTTGAGAGTCCACCTGCCGATGACTATACTTCAATAAAATAAATGTTAAAAAAAAGAAACGGGCTTCCCTGGTGGCTCAGTGGTTGAGAGTCCCCCTGCCGATGCAGGGGACACAGGTTCGTGACCCGGTCCGGGAAGGTCCCACATGCCGCGGAGCGGCTGGGCCCTTGAGCCATGAGAGGCCCGCGTACCGCAAAAAAAAAAAAGAAACAAAACTTCTTTGGTACTTCTGTGGCTAGTCCTATTCTGTCCTCCAAAGACACCTGAACCCCAAAGAGCTTTCTTAATATGTAATTCTTTCTTGAATCATCTTTTGCTTTACAATTCTTTCAATTTAGGGTCTAACCATACTGCCTTTAATTTCCAACCATTTACTCACATTTTGGTCTGTTACTTTCTGGTTTCTGCTCCCAGGAACTTGGGGGGACCTTCTCCAAGGTCCCCAATGTCTTTTTCCTAGACAAAACTACTAACCCGTACTCAATCTTAACTTTTTCAGGCTCTCCGGTGGCATTTCACACTGCTCACCGTTCCTTTCTACTTGCAATAATCTTCCCTTGGTTTAGTCAATACTACATTTTCTTGTTACTACAATTAGAAATGAAAAATGCTGCTCTATCTATTGGGAGAATGTTGGTAAAACTGACTATCATCTAGGGCCGTGATGAATCTATCTCAATATAAATAAAAAGAGGGATGTAGAGGAGTGTTGTAGGATCAGGAAGGTGTTAGAGAAAAAGGGAGATGCTCACTGATATTAGAGATAGGCTTTGCCAGATGGATGCCAGCTGCCAGCCAGAGGTCTCCAACTGTTCCTTTTCTGTTTCCCCAGACGGAACGTCTTCCTCCTGCACCCCTAATCACGGGCCTTCCCCAAATTTCTGTCCTTTGCCCTCTGCTCTTCTCCACACGTGCTCTTCCCTCGGATCCTCTGAAGATCCCTTCTCTCTGACAGATTCAAGGACCACTTGTATTCTGGAAACTCCCAGGTTTATCACCTGTACCTCTGACTCCCCAGTTCTGCTCTGCTCATACATTTCCAGCTGCTCAGCAGACAGAAGACCAGGGTATCCCACCAGAACGTCAAACTCATGCAGAAGGTCACCTTTCCCTTTACCCTCACCTCCATTACTGGTTCTTATCTCCCAGGCTTAACCGTTCAGAGCCATCTTTAATCCCCCTCCTTCATCCTCCATGCCCTGTCACCAAGTCCCTTCCTTTCTTTCTTCAAAACACCACTCCCTGGATTCAACTTTTCTTCCCCATCTGAGTCCTGCCTGGCCTCTATCGCTCCACTCGGAGGGCACCACCTCAGCCTCTCAGCTCATACCCTTGACTATGGCCTGTGATCATTTCTGTTTTTTTTTACTGGAGCCCACAGAATGGTTAGGTGACTTGCTCGATGCCTTCATGGCCACAGATAAAAGAGCCAACGATGACACTCAGCTCTCCCTCCCTCCAGAGCCTGGGTGTGGCCCACAGGGGTTCCCACTCTGACCTTCAAAATCCAGACTCAGCCTGTATCACCAGCTGTCAGTAATGATGGGATTGGTTCCATCCAACAGGCCTCTAACCTCCCTATATGGGGCTCTTGCATTTTCAACCCTGTAAGTTCTGGATCCCTGAGAAAGCTGCTGAGAAACACCATGTGAAATCTGCTTTTTTGGTCAGTTCTAGCTAGACTTCACCTGTGCTGGTAACAAGGTCTGGGGTCTGGCTCCATGACCAAATCCCTGCCTTGGGTAAGTACTCAGCACCCCAGGTCCCCTAAGGATGGGGTCCTTTAGTAATGAGGGTCCTGCTTCCACTTCCTGATACTGGATCTCCCAGCCATCATTAGCCCAGCTAAGTGGACATTCACCTGTATTAGCTGCCCTGTCGTCTGGCAGGCTGACACCTGGTTACATGGTCTCCTGGAACCTGGGTCTACCCTCCGAATTCCTATGCTGCAACTCTGTTGCCTGTCCAGGTCCTGGAAACTACAAGACTCTACTTCCTATACCTGTCCATCCCTGCCAGATTTATCCTGTTCCCAAATGAGACCTGACTACATTATTTTCCACCATTCTCCTACAAACCCTGTATCCCAGTCAAATTTTTTAAAGATTAGAAATAAGTCGTCTTCTTCCCAAAATTTGGTCCAAAATCCCAGCTCCTTTCTGAAGTTGGCAAGTTCTCTCTTCCTCCTGCAAGGTCCACCACACAGCCGTCAATCAGTAAGACCCGCTGTGTGCCCACTACAGGCCAGGCTCTGAGCGCTGCACACACAATGCTGCGTGGTCACACAAGGGATTGACAAACCCAAAGCCAGTTCCAAAACTAGGACTCACCTTAAATCAAATGAAGATGATTTTTAAAAAAATACATCATTTTATAAAAACCAAAGATCAAGATCAGCCTTTAACTGGCACTGGTAATTAGATAATAATTCATAGTTAATACATTTGCCTTTACTCTCCTTAAACCTAGTTTGAGAAAAGTGCAGCTCTACAGGAAACGTGGATGGTTCTAGTTCAAGAGATGTCTTTATGAGAACGATACTGCCACCTAGTGTCTACAAAACTAGGAGAAAACAGCTGGCACAGTTGAGAAACTAATATCAACGAAACCCATTCTAAATAAAGATTGAATCATAAAACTTTTATGTATCTAAATCAGGTAATGCTGGCCAATAAACAAAGAAATGTGGCTACATTCAAAAAAAGGGAATCTCTGTCTTCGAACACTGAGATTACAAGTATTTTAAGCTTTCAACAACACGAAATGGGGTGCCAAGTTCATTAGCAGCATGTTACTGAGAGGAACAATACAAATATATTGTTTAAGAAACAAAGCCTAAACATCATGATATCACTTATATGTGGAATCTAAAAAAGAAATGATACAAATGAATTTATTTAAAAACAGCAACAGACTCACAGACTTAGAAAACAAACTTAAGGTTACCAAAGGGGAAGGTGCGGGGAGGGATACATTAGGAGGTTGGGATTAACATATTCACACTACTATATATAAAATAGATAAACAACAAGAACCTACTGTACAGCACAGGGAATTCTACTCAAAATTCTGTAATAATCTATATGAGAAAAGAATCTGAAAAAGAATGGATATATGTATATGTATAACTGAATCACTTTGCTGTACACCCGAACCGAACATAACATTGTAAAGCAACCGTACTCCAATATAAAATTTAAAATTAAATTTTAAAAGAAGGAAAGAAAGCCTGAAATTTATCTTCCTCCTTTGGATGTGAATGTGTAATTCACCCTTCATATGAACCACCTGAAAACTAGCAATGAGGCTAAAAGAAATGACAGTTAAGAAAATCAGGCTTACCTGAAAGTGCAAAATTATTGTCCATATTAACCCCAAAGTCAATTTGGGATTTCCATCTGTTATGTCATCATTTCTAATGTTCACTAATTTCACCTGTTTTGTATGTGAAGAAGAGATAAAACAAAATATTTTTCAAACCAGCACGAGTTATTTTTACCTACATAAAAGTGATTCAAAATTACAGATACAAAAAAAAGTCTGAATAATTTAAATAACAGTAATCCTCAAATTACTGTTTTACCCCCATCCCCACTCCTTTTAGATTGCAAATTATAGAGGAACTACAAAGGAAAAAAACTCAATATTATTTTGGTTTTGTCTTCTACTGCAAGTATTAAAAGTACACTTGTCAAAACGAAAACACAATTCAAGTGAGAAGTCCTAAATACTTAAGATTCTTAAATTAGAAATATTTTGCCTTTTGAAAATAAGCGTTATTTTACAATTAAGTAGGAAACTATTCTGAACCATCAAATAATTTTAACAACTTTCTTACACTTCGGTCATAAAGAGTGTTTAAAAAAAAAACTAGCACTATTATTCTATTTGTCTACCATAGATTGCTACCAAGATAAGTAACTATATAACTCACTGGACATTTGGAAGACTGTTCAAAACTTTAAAAATAATACAGTAATCAGACTTAAAGCTTATCAACTGTCCAATTATGCATTCAGGTAAATAAATGTAAGGATGATATTTAACATTTACTTCCTGGTAAAAGAATTAAATATCTATCATGAATTCAAGACAATGATACTTAACATTTTACTTCCTGGACAAATCACTGCCAAAAATATTTCGACAAGGAGACATAATTAACCATTAATCCTTCTGTAAACTTCCACTAGAATTAAGAAGAGTAAGGCAAATACCAATATCATTTAAAATATAAGCACGGAGTATTTGCTAGAATTTAATAACTACAAGCACTTTGATGCCATAATAAACTAAATGAAGGACTAATAAACAGACAGTGTTTCCTGCTCCTCCTGGCCTCCTCTCTTCTCTTCTTCCTACTCCATTAAAAAGCGAAATTGTTGCCACCTCTGATTTCTCACTGTTTTCAGTAACTTTCAATTATCCTGAGTTTCTTTGACTCCTCCTTTTTCTACTAATTGAAAATTACCAATTATTTGCCTTATATCTCTATAATACACAATGCTGCCAAATCAAGATCAAATCCAATACGTTGTTCATCCTTTTCCACCATTTCTTCTGAAACCTCAAGCCAGTCGGGGATTGTTGTCAGAACTGTTTTATTTTTAACTGCTTCTAGATTATCCAGTTGTATCTACTTATAAAAAATAAACTATTGCTTCCTCACTACTATGTATTAAAAATACATATGCCAAGGGCTTCCCTGGTGGTGCAGTGGTTGGGAGTCTGCCTGCCAATGCAGGGGACGCGGGTTCGTGCCCCGGTCCGGGAGGATCCCACATGCCGCGGAGCGGCTGGGCCCGTGAGCCGTGGCCGCTGAGCCTGCGCGTCCGGAGCCTGTGCTCCGCAATGGGAGAGGCCACAGCGGGGGGAGGCCCGCGGACCGCAAAAAAAAAAAAAAAAAAAAAAAAATACATATGCCAAGTTTTTTAAAAGTATTATGTAAACTATCTTTTATAAAAATAAGGTAATTTTAATAAAAAATAAAGTATTGTCTCCCCACTACTAAGAACTGTTCATAGACATTCTTAACATTCTGTTGCTACTAAAATGTCATTAAATTCCTAGGCAAAAGCATTCCAGTTCCAACAGAAGGAAAACTCAGTAGCTCCTATTCAGATGGAAATGTAGCCACTTACACCTACTATTAACCTCCTTTTCTTTGGAACAAATGTTTAAAAACATTTTAAAACATCTGTCTCATGAAAGCACAAGTTTAATGATTATAATTCACAGTCAACTTTAACCTTGTCATTCCCTGACATGGTCCTATGCATATTTATTCAGTCACGTATGTTTATATGATTACAGTCTTTGAAAAACATCATACCTGGCGTCTTTTCAAATAGTCAAGTGCAATTTGTACATTCTGTAGTCTGTGAAAACGCATCCGACCTTTCTCTCTGGGCTAAGAATAGAAAAGTGCAGGGTATAAAAAACACTGTATTTTCTGATACCACTGATCATGCTAAATACACGTATGCTGAATATCCTATATAAATATACTGTATGCTCATCTTAATATGTCAAAACAGTATTTACTGCTTGGGTAGATCCATTAAATTTTTTAATGATATTTTAAATTTTTTGCATTATCTGAGACTGAATTTAAACGGGATTTTTCTGAGTATTTTTTTATTTTAAACTGATCCTTTACTCCAAATATTTAAACAAAAGAAAAAGAGAAAATACCACGGAACATATACACTTTTAATATTCACTATCTTATAATTCTAGCCTACAGTTATTAGCTACAGATGCACAAAAAGAATTAAATACCATTCCCCATTCTGCCTTCTTAATAAACTTTAAATCAAGAAGGTTTTTATAATTATATATGTACGGCATGTTAATGAAAATAAGGTAAAGTAGCATCAGTTAGTATAAAAATCACCAAGAAGGAGAAAGACAGTGGAAGTTTACTTAGCCATGATAGAGGAAGAGAGAAAAGCAATTAAGGCCATGTAATATATTTCCTCTTTATTTTGTTTTCGTTTTGCACAAAATCGGTTGGACTCGATAATAGTTTTACACTGCTTGGGGATGGACGTGATGATTTGCTGTCTCAGGAAAACTGACAAACCGTTAACTCTTTTCCTTGATGCCATTTCCCTTAAGAAATGTCACAAGTTAGCAGAAGGAGAACATAAGGAAACAGACCTGAGAAAATGTTCAACAAACATGCAAAGAATGGAGCTGAAATTTACTACATAATATCTTCCAAAGGGAAAAAAGGAAAAAAGAAAACCGACAGCTGAGCTGCTCAAACATGAATAGGTTGCTGAAGCCAAAGGCAGCAGAATTAAAACAGACAGCAGACCACAGAATAGGAAAATAAGTTCCATATAACAGGAGAAATGATGGTGATGAATTCCCCACTGGATCCACAAAAGCACAAGTTCTAATAAAAATCAGGGGGCTCTAGGGACGTCATGACAAAAGAAGCACATCTGTCTTGCAAAGGTAGGCTGAGTCAGTTGAGTGTCACTGGGATTGAACAGCTCTGTGAACTTTGTCAGGATTCTAGCATTTTAAATATTCCCCCCCCTAAATAAAACGAGACATATAAGGTAGGTAAAGAATGTCCCTCAAATACCTACTGCCAGTAGGAATGATTTAAAGCATAATCTTAAACATTAAATAAATGTCTGAAAGTTCCTTCAAATAAAACAAAAGACAGTTATGTTGGAAATATTAATTTCAGAAGTGGAACAGATCTGCATTAAAATTAGTGGGCTGGGGCTTCCCTGGTGGCGCAGTGGTTGGGAGTCCGCCTGCCGATGCAGGGGATACGGGTTCGTGCCCCGGTCTGGGAAGATCCCACATGCCGTGGAGCGGCTGGGCCCGTGAGCCATGGCCGCTGAGCCTGCTCGTCCGGAGCCTGTGCTCCACAATGGGAGAGGCCACAACAGTGAGAGGCCCACATACCGCAAAAAAAAAAAAAAATTAGTGGGCTGGCTGTAAGATTTCCATACTTATACAAAAGGTATACAAATTTCTTTAGCTCAAATGCCCTCCTGTAATTTAAGCACATGTTCAAATACCATGCAGTGCACAGAAATACAGAAATAAATTTAAAGAGAAAATATGTCCTTTGTCCAAGTTGCTGGTACACACACATCCATCTCCCTTTGGGTTTTGGTCCTTTCTACAGTTTTCTAAAAAGGAGCCCAAACCCGTGGGTTACACTATTGTGTTAGCGCTCACCGCATGTAAGGCTAGGTTAGTGGAGTTACGGGGGTGACACCTACCCCCTTATCCTCATCCTCCACATCCTCATGCTGTTCATATTCGCATGCTTCTGTGGCACTCACCAATCGTAAGGTCTTCAAAAAATCTCGTTCCCTTGGCTAATGAATATAACAGACAGAAGATAGGACAGCAAAGACAAAAGACAGACCAGAAATGAAAAGAAGAGCATGAACAGAACTTAATGAAGGAGACCAGGTAACCAAGAAGGGGGAGAAATGTTCACAAAAAAGGAGATGACACCTGTGGAGGGGGTTAGACCACCTGTCAGAAAGTGATGCTTATTTCCTTGCTATTTGTGAGTCTTTTAATAGGGGGTTATATTATGCATCCAACTTCTGATAAGGAAAAAAAAAAAACAACCCAGAGGTAAAAAAGAACAGAAGTAGTATTTTAATTATAGAATTGATTATGTAAGCAAGGTCATCAAAGTACTTCCATCTCCCAAATGCACAGCATTTAAAGTCTGAAAATGCTTCATAATCTAACCAGAACTCTTTTTCCAGGCAGAATTCACAGCAGCTCAAAAGACGAATGCTGCAAAACTCTGAACAGTCTGTGCTGAAAACAAATTAGTCATATGCAAAAAGGATCACATGTTCTTCAAAATAAATTACGAAATTTAAAACTTACCAAGGTGTCTCCTGAAAGAACCTCTAAAAGAGAGATCAAATTGTGTCCGTCCCTCAAGTCTTCATAGAGATCATTCACGTGTTTTCGAACCTACACAGAAAAGAGCAATTTAAAATTTTCGGTCCTAGAACCCAGACCACCCCTAAAACTCAAACAAGAAAGGGGACAAGGAAAAAACATTCCTTCACGTACATGTGTTCACTCATGTAGTGTTTTTAAAAATATTAGTATTCCCTCACTACTTAAAAAATAAAATTTAGGGCTTCCCTGATGGCGCAGTGGTTGAGAGTCCGCCTGCCGATGCAGGGGACACGGGTTCGTGCCCCAGCCTGGGAAGATCCCACATGCCGCGGAGCGGCTGGGCCCATGAGCCATGGCCACTGAGCCTGCGCGTCCAGAGCCTGTGCTCCGCAACGGGAGAGGCCACAACAGTGAGGGGCCCGCGTACCGCAAAAAAATAAATAAAATAAAATTTAAAAACTAAAAAAATAAATTTCAGATTAATAATTCATACAAGTAAAACTGTTAAATTTTTAACAGAGCAGAATATATAAAAATCTGGACAACTACATAGAGTTACAATTTCCAAAATACAGGCAATGCCCTGACCTGAATCATGATTCCTGATACAGCAACCAAAGCCACCTCAGCAAGAGGGGTGAGTTTTTATCCCCCGGTTGGTCTTCCTAATCTCTGGGCCACAGAATCCAGGATGCCAGAGGCACACACTCCACACTTTAAAAATCCACAGATGTAGGCTGGGGAAAGGGTACATGAGACTCTGTATACTATTTTTGAAAATCCCTGTAAGTCTATGATAATTTCAAAATAAAAGGTTTTTAAAAATTCATATATGTGAGGTCGTAAGACCTCTGTCCAAAATTCTTCTGCACAGCATAAATCTTCCTGTGGTGGAGAGTTTTCTTTCTTTCTTTCTTTCTTTCTTTCTTTTTTTTGTTTGATACCTTCTTTTTTAATATTTTACTTTACATTGAAGTAATTTGATTTACAATGTTGGGTTAGTTTCAGGTGTACAGCAAAGTGATTTAGTTATACATATACCTATTCTTTTTCAGATTCTTTTCCCATATAGGTTATTACAGAGTATTGAGCAGAGTTCCCTGTACTATGCAGTAGGTCCTTGTTGATTATCTGTTTTATATGTAGTAGTCTATATATGTTAATCCCAACCTCCTAATTTATCCCTCCCATTGGAGGGTTTTCATAACCACATTTACACTAGCTGCAAGTTAACAGGCCTCGTTTAAGTTTCTGATTTTAGAGCTCAAACCACCAAAGATTTCCCCCAAACTCTGCTAGTTGGCCACGCAGGGACACTTTCTGTGAATGAATGCTTGGCCCACTGTAAGCTGTCTGCCAGACAGACAAGGACAGAGCAGGCTGTGAGAATGGCTGTCCCACAGTGGGCTGGTTCATCTCCACGTTCTCACCTTTGGGTGATTCTGGGCTGCGTTACTTTGCGCTGCTCTCAGGAAAGGAGTCAAGGAAGTGGTCCAGAAAGAGGCAGAGACCAGCATCCCCCTTGCATCACTTGGGCACAGCCCTACATGCTCCCTGTCTGTGTGGTACACTCTGGAGGTTTATACACATGAGTCAAACTCCTTTGTGCTTGCAAAATGTCAGGTGAATATACAGCAGAAAGTAATACAGAGATCCAAAGTATAGTCAAAACTCTCTGGCTACAGAGCAACCAGCAAGAAAGGGCCTAATGGAAACTAGAAGCAAGGCTTTGATGGGTAAGTCTTCTGGGTCTAAAAAAGCAGCTCAATTTTATTATCTTAACTGACTATCTACATGTTTTGCAGTATGTTTTATCATCAGAAAATATTTTTGATTAGTGAAGAAAAAACTTCCCTTAAGAGTTTCGTATCAAATTTACCACCTCCTATAACAGTATTTTGGGACTTTCTGCCTAAGTCACAGAACCTTTTAATATTCCATTAATTTAATATTCAATTATCCATCTATGCATCATTACTACAAAAAATATAGGCATTAAACTCGGGCCCAACAGCTCTAAGAAATTGCTAATTCCAATAGTACCTATAAAGTGGCAAGGAAAACTGAAACAGTCAAATTACTTTTAACCAAGTGTCCCCATTTTCACAAGCTGACATTTTTATTTTGATTTCCTAATTCCCAAGGAATATCAGCTGACTCTTTGGTGTCACAAGACACAACAGTAATAGAAAGCTCAAAAATACTTCACTTTTCTAAAAAAAAGAGCATATCATAACACATTTCAGGCAATCCTTATTTAGAAAATCTATATATATCCAAATAAGTTACAAAGAGATTATTCCTCCCATTAAATATTGGGTTGGCCAAAAAGTTTGTTCGGGTTCTTCCGTAAGATCCTAAGGAAAAAACTTTTTGGCCAACTCAGTATTTACCTTCCATTCAATAAATACCATTAAATGACAATCCCCTGAAGTACTCAATTACATTTCAGAGATGAACCAATTTCCAAGGATCTTTTCAGGAACAAATCTATGACATCCATGACACACATGTGTGCAGAAAAGCAACTTTATGAAATGAGCACTAATACTTAATTTTCTACTCACATACTAGAGCACTGTAAGAATTCACTTGGCCTCATTCCAGGCCATGAGCTTGAATTTATAAGCCTAAGGGCCTACTTGAAAACAAGACAGAGGATGTCCATAGATGGATGAATGAATAAAGAAGATGTGATATATACACAGTGGAATATTACTCAGCCAGTAAAATGAAATCTTGCCATTTGCAACAACGTGGACCTTGAGGGAATTAGACTAAGTGAATTAAGTCAGACAGAGAAGAACAAATACCATATGATTTCACTTAAAAGTGGAATCTAAAAAAACAACAAATGAGCAAACGAAACAAAACAAAAATCACAGATACAGAGAACAGAATATGGTGGTTGCCAGAGGGGAAGGGGTATGGGGAGTGGGTGAAACAGGCAAAGGGGATCAAAATATACCAACTTCCAGTTATAAAATAAGTAAGTCATGGGGATGTAATGTACAGCATGGTGTCTATAGTCAACAATATTGTAGCACATACTTGAAAGCTGCCAAGAGAATAAATCCTGAAAGGTAACTTTGTCTGGTGATGGATGGTAACTACAGAGTTTTGTGCTGATCATATTGCAACGTATACAAATATCAAATCATGATGATGTATACCTGAACCCAATACAATGTTATCTGTCAATTATACCTCAATTAAAAAAACAAGGCAGAGGAGCGAAGCTTGTGAACTTCACGTACATCACTGCATTTAAATCTATGTACTCCTCTATGTATCTCCAGTGTAACCAGAAAGCAGGCTAACTCTAAGAGCCTGAGCAGGGACATGAGAGATCACATGTATATAAACAATATTATGCAGCTCCTGACCCTTGGCCAGCTGCTGAATCCCTGAAAATAGACAACTCCATAGTGCACGTCTGACATCTTCAGAAGGTACAGTAGGACACAAGTGCACGGTCAGGATGGGGTCCCGCAGGGCAGTAACCAACACACAGAGCTGAGTATGCCATGCACTCTGGTCCCCTTTACCCACCGAGGCCTGCCTGAGTCACACACACTTCAATCCACATGCACTTCCTCTGTCTTTCTCACTTCAGGACAGTTAAAGGTGGGGTGTAATTAATAGCCAAGACATGGAAACAACCTAAACGTCCATCGACAAATGAACGGATAAAGAAGACATGGTACATATATACAATAGAATATTACTCAGCCATAAAAAAAGAACAAAATAATGCCATTTGCAGCACCATGGATGCAACTAGAGATTGTCATACTGAGTGAAGTAAGTCAGAAAGACAACAACAAACACCATATGCTATCACTTATATGTGGAATCTAAAAGAGGACACGTATCTAATGAAACAGAAACAGAATCACGGACATAGAGAACAGACTAGTGGTTGCCAAGAGGGAGAGCATTGGTGGGGGGATGGACTGGGAGTTTGGGATTAGCAGATGTAAGCTTTTATATATAGAATGGATAAACAAGAAGGTCCTACAGTATAGCACAGAGAACTATATTCAATATCCTATGATATATCATAATGGAAAAGAATATAAAAAAAGAATTATTTATATGTATAACCAAATCACTTTGATACACAACAGTAATTAACACATTATAATCAACTATACTTCAATAAAAGAAAAAAAAAAGATGGGTATGATTCTGAACACATATTTCACAGGAAAGCAATTTCACAACTTGCCAGATTGAACCAAACCATCTACATCAGGGAAACTTTCCACAGCAAGGTGTCCTTTTCCACCATCATATTTATGCAACAATAAAGAAAAATCAAATTAGGCATGTTTAGAGAAGAAGAAGATTATGCCAAGTAAAACCACGTTAGGAAAAGAGAAAACATGTTATAAAGGGGAAAATAATAGGATTTTAGTCATGTTTCTGCCATAGGTCTCATGAACTAGTACCAACTGCCCAAACTCTCTGGCCTCAATGTTCTCACCTGCAAAATGAAAGTTTGAAAACAGAAGGCCTCGAGTTCAAAGCAGAAAACAAAAATTCTGTGATCTGAAAATAAAATTGTCATTGTTTAAAAAAAATCAATGTGTCAACTTAAAAGAGAAAATATGTAAAACAGAAAGCTACTCTTAAGCCTTCTGGCTTAATTTCTTAAAAATTTTAGAAAAAAATACATAAATAGAATAATTTAGCTTCTATAATGCTTGAAAACATCCTGAGTCATTGGTTATCATAGAATATTGCTTGTTTTTCCTGTCTCAGAGGATCATTCTGAGGGTCTAGAGAAATACTGTGTATGAAAAACACTACATAAATGTAAGATACCATTATTCTCATCTTTATCACTCTGTATAAAACAAATGCCACCAGTATTAACACAAATAAACGAAAATATATAAACGATGAGTTATTACTAGGCACCCGACCCTGTTTAAGTGCTTTATAAGTAATGGCTCATTTTCTTCACCACAAAAGAATAGGGTAAAAGAGAATGTTAATTAAACATTAAATATCAACATTATGGAAAAAAAGAAAAAAATTAACATTATGGGGAAGGAGTGGTA